CACCTCCAAAGGGGCAAGATTCGGCATCACACACTTTGTGCAGGCCAGCTGCAGGGTTTGGGCTTTTCCCACACCTGGCCACCTCTGACTCTGCAGGTCAGCATGGTGCTCAGTGGGCCAGGGCCCTGATACTGGTGGCCTGTCCAGCCTGGGCCCTGGTCTGGGGCCCCCCAGGCTGTGACTCTGTGCTGTCAGTGTGGTTGGGGTGTGGCCAAGGCCTCACCTCTGTAGATACCTTTTTTCTGTTTTGCCTCTGCATGAGTCTGATCCTGGCTGCGTCAGTGACATGCTGTGGGGCCCTCTGTGAGTCACACCTTCTAGGCTCAGTGTCTTCATCTGTGAAATAGGGACAAGAGGTAGTTGTGAGGGTTGGATGAGATGGGCACTGCAGCCCACAGCACAGTGTGGCTCTGAACAATACAGATGCCACCACCACCATGGTGGGTCCAGAAGCCTCCAGAGGCTGAAGGACAAGACTCTGGCCTCAGATGATGTTTCTCCTTGGCCAAGGTGGGACTGGGGTCGCCTAATTTGGAGGCTTTATTCGGCACAGATTCCAGAACGCAAAGGGCTTCTCACCTACCCTGGGCTATGGAGACGCACGTGTGACCATGTGGGTGAGGCTGGAGGGTGGTCAGACCTTTGGTAGCCTGTGCAGTGAGGGCTGAGACTGAAGCACAGGCTACTCCTGGTGTCGGAGGGCTCCTCTCTGCCCCGGTGGATGGAAGGGGCTCTCTGTGGAGCCAGGAGAGTGGAGGGCACTGAGGACCACGGGAGGTAGCATCTCTAGCGCTAGACCTAACTGCTGGGCTCCTGGGAGCAAGTGGTCACTGAGCCGAGGGGCAGGTGCCCGGATGGGGCTGACCACCTTAGGGAGCAGTCACAGCTTACTCTTTGCCCCTGATAGGGCCCACTGGCCCTGGCCCCGGCCCCTTGCTCCCTGGGCTACTGCCTACCCCGTTCCTGAGGACCCACCTCTTCTCAGGGTCTCTCACAAATAGCCCTGTCTCCTTCTGGCCAGTGGCTATTTTTCTGGAAGTGGAGATGGAGAAGCCCCTCCCTGGGCAGTTCTGCTCTATGCTGCAGCAAGGCCAATGCCCCAGGGCTGCTGCAGGGGGCTCCCTGCCTCCTGCCTCTTCCTCAGTCCTGCCCCATTTGGACGCTGATCCCCCTCCTCTCCCCATGTTGGCCTTCCTGGCCAGCAGCCCACCCGCCCTGGAAGCCTGTCTGCCACCTCATGCTGGTGCCTGTCATTCCCACTGCCCTGCATCCCTTGGCCAAGGGCCCCTGTACCCCTGCTCAGGGGTGGCCTTGAGCCCCCCACCCCCCACCCCCAGGCTGGTGCTCTCACAATCTTTGGGATCCTAATGGGGTAGGGGCAGTGCTGGATTCTTGTTACCCTGCGTATCCCCTATTTGTCTGCACCGATTGCCAGGGGTCTCGAGGGCTCCGGCCATCCCTCCTCCCTCCCCCTCCTCCCTGCGCCCACTCTGCAATCCCTCCATCGCCGCATCCATCTGTGGCTTCCCCTGTGAGGCAGAGAAGTCGGAGGGCGGCGCAGGGGGCAGCCGCTCACCGCCGGTCTCCCCACAGCAGGCCTCAGAACTCGGCCAAGGCGCGCTCGGTGTGGGAGCAGCTCGCCAGCCAGCTGCCGCTGCACAACCTGAGGGCCAGCTGCGAGGCGCTGTACAGCGAGATGGACCCCGAGGAGAGGCTGCGCTATGCCACCACGCGCCACTGCGCCCTGACATGAAGACACACCTGGACCGGCCGCTCGTGGTGGAGCTAGGGCGCGACGGGCCACGGGTCCCCGCGGGAGGCAAGGCCCGGCCCGAGGGCCCGGAAGCTGCCGAGGGCGCGGACCCGACCGGCACCGCGACAAGGCTGCGGCCCCGGCCCCGGCCCCGGTGGCAGCGGGGGAGCAGGACAGGGTGGACGCGCCGAAGGCCGAGGGCGGGGAGCCCGAGGCCCGGGAAGAGCCGACGAGGCCGCACCGCAGCCGCAGCAAGGAGACCCGAAGCGAGCGGAACCGCGGCCCGGGCCCCGAGGGCGGCCGGCGCCACCACCGGCGCGGCTCCCCAGAGGAGGCGGCCGAGCGGGAGCCGCGGCG